GGATTGTGACGCCGATCAGTCTATTGCAGAACCCTAATCAAGTGCGACCAACACGGTTTTGGGGCGTGTACACGAAACTGAAGATATTCAACATGACTGATTATAAGAAAGGTGCCACTTCAGTTTTCTTTAAGTAGTAATGTTAATCACTTCTGATTTGAAAGAAAAAAGATTTGTTAATTCTTCTGATCTATTCTGTGATTACCTCAGTGGTGTACCTTGATGCTGATACAATCGTGGTTAAAAACATCGATGATTTATTCAAATGTGGAAAATTTTGTGCCAACTTAAAGCATTCTGAGAGGCTAAACTCTGGTGTTATGGTAGTCGAACCATCTGCAAAGCTTTTCAATGACATGGTGAGCAAAGTGACCACATTGTATTCTTATACCGGAGGTATGTTATTCCTTTTATGCCATTATAGAATATAAGATTGTCATACATAAGTTCCCTTTCCCTTTCCCTTTCCTTTTTCTCTGAAGATGTTTTCTTGTTGCTTTTTTAGGTGACCAGGGTTTTCTTAACACCTATTACGTTGGATTTGCGAGTGCACGTGTCTTTGACCCTGAAATTTCTCAAGAAGTGGTCAACTCTAAACCAGTTCCAGAGATGGAGAGACTTTCAACTCTCTATAATGCAGATGTTGGACTTTACATGCTTGCTAACAAGGTAGGTAGTAGTGCTATGGCAAATCTTGTAAAACTTTAGGACTTAATGGGGAAAGCCTCATTATCCTGTCTTTCTCTCCACATTAGGTTAAAAAGAAACAATCACTTATAGTTTAGTGGATTAAGGGCTGTTTCTTTTTTACCTAAAGAGCTTAATGGGTTAAGCACTCAATCTGTACAACCATACATGGCTGTTTTTTTTTTTTTAACTTAATCCGGACAGAATGACTTAATAAACTACATATGCAGTGGATGGTAGATGAGAAAGAACTCCGTGTTATTCACTATACACTTGGCCCTCTTAAACCATGGGACTGGTGGACTTCTTGGCTTTTAAAGCCTGTGGACGTGTGGCAGGTATTTCAAGTCCATCTATGTATAATTACCTTCTTGCCCCTCTCTGCGGTAGTTCCTGGTGTTAACATTGGGATGAAATGTACAGGATATTAGAGAAGAACTAGAGGAGAGTCTTCCAGGAACTAAAGGAGGCAGAAATCCACACGATGAATTTCTAGTGAAATTCTTGTTCTTACTTCCATTATTCACTTTACTTTTCTGTTACTACCGATCTTTTCTACAGACACGTTCTATATGTGATCATGCAAGACACATATACTACAAATTTAGATCCGGTGGCTCTCTTTCATATTCTGCAGTATCTTCATCTACCATCAATTCTAGTCAACAGGTTAGTCAGCATGTTCTCTTCTATTATCATGTGCTTACTGTTGGATTTTGCTAATACAAGCTCTTTTTTGTGTAGTTTTCAAATGGTACACATGGAAAGGTGCCAGCTTTTCTTGGTGGGGTGTCTGTTTTCTTCTGTTTCGTAGCTGCAATGGTGGCTCTTGGAATTGGTTTTTCAGTTATACCTAGACAAGTAAAGCCATGGACTGGCTTGCTGTTGATGTATGAGTGGACTTTCACAATCTTTTTTCTGCTTTTTGGTGGATATTTACATTTAATTTATAAATGGGGGAAAATGGTAGCAACTCAAGGAGCATCTTCTCGACCAGATTATGATTCTGAAAAGGGTTAGTCTGTTTTCTATTGAAATCTGTGAAAGAGAACCCGTTTTTGGTGATGTGTTTTTTAGACTTGTCAGATAACTTTTTTTTTTTTTTTTTTTTTTTTTTTTTGGTTTTGTAGGTCATCAGCGACAGGTGTCGTGTGATGTGGCGACATGGTATTATGGGCTTGGAATGGCATTTTTAGCCATTGCTACCCCCGCGGTTCCTGTTTTTTTGGGGATTACAGCTTTGTTTGCAAGGTATTTTTCGGATTACAACTTATTCACACCTTTCTTACAACTGTCCCTCTGTCCGTGTGGAGGGCATTTACGTCTTTTCCCCACATGAGATCTCAAGATCGAGTCCCTGTACCACTTTTTGGGTGGGACAAATAGTTGCAATATTTGTCACCTGTCATTTCTGTCAGTGTCACTGTTGCTGTTGGGTTCTCAGTATTTTGGATGTTAATTTTTTATTATATTTTATGGCAACAGGTTAGGTTTAATGGTGGCAGGAGGTCTAATATTTGCATCTTTTATGACATATGCGGCTGAGCACCTTGGTATTAAGTCGTTTGTTCGAGGGCTTGAAGATAGGGACACATCAAGGACAAGGAACTCATGTTTCTTATGCTAATTAGATTCTGAAACAAAATTGTAAGTTATTGACAGTTGTTATAAATCTGTCATATGTAATATTGTGTCACAAACATGTATCATGTTAAGTACTTGTCTTGGTTATCAAACAAAAATTTGATAATTTTATCGGTTGGAAATAGTTTTAGCTTAGATTGCTGTTTGTAGGCGTTTGGTGACAATTTGTTAATTTATGAGTTCATTGAGTTTGTAGAATAGGGTTTATGTTGGCATACTCCCTTGACTTGGTCTATGATTTTTTGTAAGGTTCCATCATTTGAGTTTGGTATGTGATTTTATTCCTCAAGGCTTGTATTTTGTTTATAAATTGGCAATGTAAGTGTTGTAAGATGAAATAGAATTTGAGGTACTATTGAAATACTTGCTATCATGTAAAGTCTATTAACATGTATGATGTACAAGATAGTTATTGTAAATATGAGTAACACTAATTTTTGACATTTTAGCAACTTAAAGATTTTGTAGTAAGCTTTACTAACAAAAAGAATAGAACCAACAACTGTAGTGACTGTTTAACAAAATTGAACCATTCTCGAATGATTTCGATCTTTTAATGGTTAAGACTTGGGAGAAGGTAGGAAATCATTTATTAGTTGTATCAATTATCAAACATGTTAAGTCCATCTTTCTCTAATTGTGGGGACCACACAAACTCACAAAGTATATCACCTAACAAGCCCTTCCATTACATTGAGGCATGCTTTTCTCCTTTTCATGTAGCCACATAGCATGCATGTGTACACATGATTATTCATGCACGTTTTATGATTAATTAAATGACATCATGCATGCAATAAAAATATAAACCTCTTTCATACAATATGCATAAAATATCCTATTATTGTTTGAATCTAGTATTATAAAGTCGTATAAACTCACTTTTCCAGGCATGAAACCGTCTTGCAAAGTAGGACAATTATAATATACACCATGTAACATCAATATACCAGAAGACCACTATTAACGTGTCTGAGGACAACCATGCATGGTAGAAGTGTTGGTAGAGCCAATAGGGGGAGAAGAAGGAGATGACGTAGGGGGGGTTGCCATTGACGTCAAGGGAAGAAGGAAAGGTAGACAAATAATAACTCTGTGGTGTAGAGGTTGATTGTGTGATTTGTTGAGCATGAGTGGGAATATGAGGGATGTCGTCATCGGGAACAAAAAAGTCATACTCAAAGGTGGGGATGGGGACTGAAAATTAGCATATAGAAAGTGACATTCATCAAAAACCATATGATGAGAAGTAATGAGTCGCTGAGTGATGAGATCAAGACACCGATGACCCCGGTGATCCGATGAAGATCCAAGGTACACACATGTAGAGGAACGAGACATGAGTTTGTGGGTAGCAGTGGAAGATGTGTTTGGATAACAGAGGCATCTAAAAACACAAAGGTGGTCGTATGTGGGAAATAAACCAAATAAGATTTCAAAAGGAGTTTTAAAAGAAAGAGTGGTAGTGGGAAGGAGATTAAGAATATAAACAACATTGTCACACCCCCAGCCGGCGGCGGAAATACCGGGCGGTGTAACATCATTCATTGTATCATAGTTATCAAATATATATTGAATAGTAAAAAAGAATTATTATAAACTACCTACCTTTATTGATAATAGAAAATTATATTATTCCAGTTTATCAAGTTCCTGAAAACACATATGTTTAAAATATGCCAACATTATGTTGGTAAGTTTACAGGTTTTGACTCTGAGTATAAATAGTATTTTTCCGAGTTTCAAAAGTATAGAACATAGTTTGAAAATGTCATTTTGACTCATACTTGTTTCTAACATATGATATATATATATATATATATATATATATATATATATATATATATATATATATATATATATATATATAATAGTTTACTTACTAAATAAGTAGTATACCTATAAGTTTTATATATTATGAATATACGTATTTTTAATCCCATACAAACGAAGGTTGCTACGTATAAATCTATTTCAATTCTATACAAGTAAGACCACTACGTATAAATCTATTTCAATTCTATACGAGTAAAACCGCTATGTATGAATCTATTTCAATTCTATACGAGTAAAACCGGTACGTATAAATCTATTTCGATTCTATATGAGTAAAAGCGCTACGTATAAATCTATTTCGATTCTATACGAGTATGTGTGCTAGGTATAATTGTCTACTTAATGACCAAGTAGTATACCTACAAGTTCCTTGTACTTAGAGTATAAGTGTTTGGGAAACTTATACTTAACATTCATACTTGTATATCGACAAAGTATAATGCTCCTAAAATTGTGCTACAATGAGTCCGTAACCGCTGCTAATACGACGCCACTACCTATGAATGGTGCTACAAGTGTCGCACCTTGTGATAGATTTCTGCACGCTTTATCGACGTCAGAATAAAATAGATTGGGCAAGTTTGTCACTCGGAAAACGTTAGGTTGTACTTAGAGTATAAGTGTTTGGGAAACTTATACTTAACATTCATACTTGTATATCGACAAAGTATAATGCTCCTAAAATTGTGCTACAATGAGTCCGTAACCGCTGCTAATACGATGCCACTACCTATGAATGGTGCTACAAGTGTTGCACCTTGTGATAGATTTCTGCACGCTTCATCGACGTCGGAATAAAATAGATTGGGCAAGTTTGTCACTCGGAAAACATTAGGATGTAAGCTAGCAACCACGAGTGGGGGTGTCAACCCGCATAGATTTACACATAACTTCCTCGTTGGAACAATGGGCAAGTTTGTCGCCCGCAAACCGTTGGGTTGTAGCTGGCAACCACGGGTGGGGGGTTGACCTTCATAAATCTATACACACAACTTCCTCGCTCACACGGGATTAACGATTACAGTTAGAGGATTTACCCTAAGATTTCCATTCTCAGTCGATGAATAAAATAGCTCATGTAGACTTTGTCGACCTCCTATAGTTCTAATAGTGAAAGAATATTCGCGTCTAAAACCCTAAGTTACTAGACTATGCTTTAAACATTACTCCTAATGTTTATAATACTTAGGCAATACAACAACTATAACTTGAAGTAAAACCAAATTTTATCTAACATAAAACCAATAATAACAACATACTTAACAAGTGGTATATATAACTCCGAAGTATAACTTCGGGGCTATATCACACATAATATATATAGAATTCCTAAGTATAACTCTAAGACTATAACACATATAGAACTCTCGAGTATAACTCCGGGGCTACATTAGTATAATCTATGATAACAACATGCTAACAAGTTTAAGATAGTTGTATGTTTTAGATATATATCAGATATATTCAAGATATATATATGATACAAAACAACTATATCCCGGTTAATATAACTATTTATGTTGATACAGATATACTATCATATAAACTTAATATTAATTTGTATACAATATTTAACATGCATTTCCCCGGAAAACATTTAAAAGTGGGGTCGTGAAACTCACCCTAATAGCGTGATCTAGTGAATATAACTGAAAAATGGTAAGAGGCTTGTCGTTGTCAGGCGCGGGAAGGGAAACGAGCTTCGAAAAATGAGAAAGAAAGGACGTAGAAGGTGTAATGAGAGAAGAGGCCGGACTTGCTATTTATAGGCTGATTTTGGCTCTTTCACGTCATGAGCCTCACATGCTCACGTCATGAGCTTCCATGAGTCATCTTGTAGCCTTCCCAGGTGTTTTCTAGCCTCGATTAGTAGGGGTGAGCATTTGGACTGAACCGGCTCTTGGACCGGACCGGTTATGGATAATATTGTGGACCGTGGACCAGACCGGATGAGTCGTGTCCGTGTCTGTGTCCGGGTCCAGGTCCGGGTTTTCCGGTTCTTGGACCCGTTTGGACCGGTACAACTTTAATTGCATAGAGTACAAGTCGTTAAAATATGTTTTTGGATTTCATAGAACTCATTAAAACGAATATGTTATTGGATTTGATACGATATAACTTGTAAAAATGATTACGTTTCCGTTTCATGCATAGAGTACAAGTCGTTAGAATATGTTTTGGGTTTGATAGAACTCGTTAAAACGAATATGTTATTGGGTTTGATATGATATAACTTGTAAAAATGATTATGTTTCCGTTTCATGCATAACTAATCTACCTTTATGTTAGAATATTATAACTTGCAAAATTAATTTTCCAAATAAAAGCAACTAACATATAAATCAAGTTCACCATGATCCCTTTCATATGATTTATCTTTCAAAGATACATAAAATTCATAATTATAGTCTAAAATAATAGTTAAAAAGTTGAAATATTTCAGTTTTGATAGCTTAACTATGAAGGATTGTAACTCACTGAATATAATACCAAAATCAACAAAATTATAGTCTAAATTCATCTACAAATTGTAAACTAAATGTTGGAAAAAACCGCAGGCCAATTTGACTTAAAACGAATGAGTTATGATTGTTTAAAAAGTTTCACAGATTACTAAATTTTAAAAATCTTGCTGAAAAACTGAAATTTTTTAGTTTTGATAGCTCAACTTTGAAAGACTGTAACTCATTGAATATAATACCAAAATCAACAAAATTATAGTCTAAATTCATCTACAAACTGTAAATTGAACTTTGAAAAAAACCGCGTGTCAATCCGACTTAAAACGAATGGGTTATGGTTGTTTAAAAATTTTCATAGATTACAAAGTTTTAAAAATGTTGCTGAAAAGCTGAAATTTTTCAGCTTTGATAGGTCAACTTTGAAAGACTGTAACTCATTGAATATAATACCAAAATCAACAAAATTATAGTCTAAATTCATCTACAAGCTGTAAATTAAATATTGGAAAAAACCGCGTGTCAATCCGACTTAAAACGAATGTGTTATGGTTGTTTAAAAAAATTCACAAATTACAATTTTTTTTAAACCGGGTCCAACCGGTTCTAAACCCGGTAAAAACCGGACCGGACCGGGAAAAAAATCGGACCGGACCGGGATGGATTCCTAGAACCGAGAACCGGCCCGGGGGTC